GGGGGGGGGGGGGACACACCTCAGTTTTGGCCAGTAAGGACAGGCACCGTGGTGGGAATAGGGAGAGAGACGATGCTCAGCCTGGAGATTGCAGCTGGAGCAGGATTGGGCCCCTCTGGAGGAGGAAACATTGAAATAGTTTCAACACTTGTTCTCGGGAGACTCTCACCCTACCTCTAATTACAAAGAAAAACGAGTTAGTTACTTAAAATCCCCGAAGGATAATTAGCAGCCTGCCTAACCTGCATCCCGATGACCGCCTCCGCTTTGCAGGAGGAGACGGTCATCCCATGAGGACAAAAAAAACACCGCCGCGGGATTTTTGTCCTCTGTGGACAATAGCTGCACTTCTCCGGGGTGGGAGATGTGGCCGCGAGCTGGAGACTCCAGTGGTCCCTGTCCCTCCCCAAAAACCAGACTCGTCTGCTGAGCCCTGTGCGTTTTTGGGGAGCTGGGGCGTGACGTTGCAGCCGGGCTCTGCCGGAGGGCTCGGAAATCCCGGAGAACTTCAGGCAGCTGCGTAAATCCGTGGGGAAACCTGTCCCAGGTGTCTCACCTGCGCTGTACGAAACACACGATGCCGCTAACGGTTTCCTCCTCGCCTTTTCTTCCCCCGATCCAGGTCTTCGCCCCTTCATCCCTGAGAAGGACAGTCAACACTTTGAGAACTTCCTGGAGACCATCGGGGTGAAGGACGGCCGGGGCATCATCACAGACAGTTTCGGGAGGTACAGGCGGACGCTCAGCACCACCTCCAATTCCACCACCAACGGCAACGGCGCCGCCGGCAGCTCGGATGACCAATCCGTCCCTTCGGAGGAGGACGAGTGGGACCGAATGATCTCGCACATCAGCAACGACATCGAAGCCTTGGGGTGCAGCATGGACCGCGATTCCTCCTGAGAGCGAGCCGGAGGCAGAAGGACAACCCCGGCACCTCCCCGTGCCGGAGACGGGAGCTCTCTCCGGTGCCCTCCCACCCTCTTGGAGAACACCCCGCAGCAGTGCCTGTATCCCGAGCGGCGTTCTGGAAGAAGTTTTGGGGGTTCGAGCAGGATGTAATTACTCTCTTATCCTCGTTAACGGCTCCAAGTGGCCCTTGGCAGGCGGCTGGTGCCTTCTCACCGCGCCGGCACGCTGCGGTGGAGGACCCCAACCCGCAACCGTCCCTGCTTTGGTTTTGCCATCGCAGCCAGCGGGGAAAAAAGTCGCCTACAACCCTCTGCCCGGTTTACAGTTTTGCACATGGTATCCTTATTGTAACTGCTCTCTTCTTCCTCCTCCTCCTCTTCCTCCTCCTGTTTTGGAATGAAGTTGACCACAATGTGAATTATTTAAACCTATTGTCCGTGGTGTCCAAAGCGGTTGGCTCCGGACCCGCAGGAGAAGCTGCGGTGGCGGCCGGGGTGGGGGTGGCAAAGGAGACTAAGTTTGCAGAGCATTTCAGAAATACTTTTGGTTTAAGTTTGAGAGTAGGGTAAATGTGGACCCATTTGTAATCCATACATAGGGAACTTATTAATGATGCTCAATATGAGCTTATTTTCATTGAACAAAAGGTGGGTGTACTCACACTCAGGAAGCTAACATTTGCCTTGCCTCATAAGGGTATGGCAATATTGAATCAACCTGCAGGGAAGTGAATTTCAGCTACAAAAAAGCTTCAAGTGGATGACTCATGCTCCTTCTAGGTATACATGCTATTTGGTCTAATCGTAGGAATCTGAATGGCAACCAAAAATTCCTTCCCAGGTTTAAGTTATCCTTTCCCTGCATGCATCATTCATCCCAGTATAAGCAGCTTCAGAGAGAAAAGCATCAAGTGTGTCTGTGCCTATAACCCTAAACGGGAAGTTTAGTAGAAATCAGATCTTTGCAAGTTTCATGTCCTTACAAAGTAGTGAGTATGCTCATTAAAAAAAAAAAAAAAAAAAAACGGAACTTCCCAGGGTAAACCTACCCA